CGTTATATCGAGATTTTACTATAACTGTATATATATAAACACAATATATATTGAAATGATATATTAAAATTAATTATATACGAATTAATTATATTGATTGAGAAAGATATATCACATAAATAATACACGAATTGATCAGGATGTCGTTTGTAGTTTGATTCCAGTCTCTTATTCGACCTATTATCCTTCAGGATCCGTGGGGTATCCATTTCATTGGACGCACTCCGCGGCTCCGGATTGGCTTTCGTCCTGTAAGCGATACGCCCTTTTGGACTCGGTGTAAAGAGAGATTTCACGCGAAGTTTTCACGCACCGCAACTTCTTTAAACATCATCATTTTGAAATCAAAAATACCCCACCTTATTCCAGGGGGTTCCAGGTGTTTGTTATCCATTGAGGCCATCACCGCAACATCTGCCGCAGAGAGGTTGCTCTCTTGTGTCCTTATTCAAGCGTGGATAAGCTCTCGCAGGTAAGTTTGTTGGGAAATATGGACACGAAAATATATAAAAAAAATGATCCTGCTGCGGGTCCCGGAAACAAAAGGAGGCGGAAGGAGTTGGTGGGGGGACGCAGCCGATTGGCTGTCCGCAGGGGATCCCGTTTTGGATCGATATCTCTGCGTCCCGGATCCAGGCCCCGGAAACGCCGCGTCCTGGATGTTCACAGGTTTCGATGAAAACTCGCTAATACCGTTTTCTCTTCTTCTCGTTTCTCCCCCACCGTTCGTTTCTTCTTTGTACGGATTTGAAACCTTGTTGGATAAATCCTTGAATTTTCAACGACTTCGTCACTTCAAATAAACTTTATGAATCAAAAACAAAAATTATTTCTAAAAACAATATTTTATACTTTTATACAATTCTCCTTCTTCCGGTTCGACACAAAACAAACAATGACAACGAGCCCCACGACAAGAACCGGGTGCCCTATTCAAGTAAGCCTCTCATTGACACAACTGTAGGTGCGAAACGTTGCTTTAATCCGGGGCATTAGAGGCCAGATTAGGCACGCCACATCGAGCCCCAACAATTCTTGTTTACCTACACCACCAAACCCTACAACCCCTAACTGCCACATCAACTAAATTCTTTTCTAAATTGGGAACTTTCTCACTGAAGTGAAACGAAAAAATACATAAAAAAGCGAATCTTAATTTAATTTTAAATAAATATCTAGTTTAAGAAAACTATGTTTGTGAGGTTTACATCATTTGTCAGATTATAATCATCAAGATTTCAAATCTTTTTAAACCGTTACTCTTCGTCGTGTTATTTTAAGCCGATTAAATCGTCGAATTAACAACAAAACGTCGAGACTTAAGATATATTTACCTCCAGCTTATTTACTATTAAATATTATATTCATTTTTTAAAATAAAAAGTTTGATCACAATCGCTTTAACTTATTCGTACTCATTTTCATACAGATGTTGAAGGAAAAATTTCCCGAAATGGTATTTATAGTTTTCAGTCATTTTGCATAACTTGGAATCATTATAAACCAATTTTCTAACAGATTGAATAATTTGACATCATTTTAAAACCGCTTTTCATCATTTAGACAAGTTTATAATAATTACAAACTAATTTTCAGTCATTTTGAACAATTTGAAATTATTATGAATTGGTTTACAATAATTTAAACAAGTTTTTGATGATAACAGCCAATTTTCAGTCATTTTGAGCAACTTGGAATAATCATGAATCATCTATGTATCATTTAGACAACTTTCTAATGATTAGCTATAATTTTTCAATCATTTTGACCAACTTATCATCATTATAAAACAGTTCTGTATCATTTAGACAACTTTCTAATGATTAGCTGTAATTTTTCAATCATTTTGAACAACCTGGCATCATAATGAAATCATTTTTCATCATATAGACACGTTTTTGGTGATTTTGAATAACTTGGAATAACGGTGGACCTCTTGTCACTCATTTTGAACAATTTGAAATCGTTATGGATCAATTTACGATCATTTAGACAAGTTTCTAATGATTACCAGCCAATTTTCAATCATTTTGAACAACTTGACATCATTATAATACAGTTCCTTATCATTTAGACAAGTTTCTAATTATTATCAGCCAATTTTCAATTATTTTGAACAACTTAGCATCATTATAAAACTCTTTTTTATCATTTAGACAAGTTTTTAATGATTATCAGCTAATTTTTGGTCATTTTGAACAACCTGGTATCATTACAAAACAGTTTTTTGTTATTTAGGCAAGTTTTGAATGAATACCAACCAATTTTTAATCATTTTCAACAACTTAGCATCATTACAAAACAGTTCTTTATCATTTAGACAAGTTTCTAATGATTATCAGAAAGTTTTCAATCACTTTCAACAAATTAGCATAGTTACAAAACAGTTCTTTATCATTTAGACAACTTTCTAATGATTAGCTGTAATTTTTCAATCATTTTGAACAACCTGGCATGATAATGAAATCATTTTTCATCATATAGACACGTTTTTGGTGATTTTGAATAACTTGGAATAACGGTGGATCTCTTGTCACTCATTTTGAACAATTTACGATCATTTAGACAAGTTTTTAATAATTACCAGCTAATTTTCAATCATTTTGAACAACTTGGCATCATTATAATTCAGTTCTTTATCATTTAGACAAGTTTTTAATGATTATCAGCCAATTTTCAATCATTTTGAACAACTTGGCATCATTATAAAACAGTTCTTCATCATTTAGACAAGGTTGTAATAATTACCAACTAATTTTCAGTCATTTCGAAAAATTTGGAATCATTATGAATCAGTTCATAACCATTTAGACATATTTTTAATGATTATCAGCCAACTTTTAATCATGTTGAGCAACTTGGAATAATTATGAATCATTTCTTTGGTATTTAGACACATTTCCAGTGATTACCAGCTAATTTTCAATCATTTTGATCAACTTGGTAACATTACAAAACAGTTCTTTTTCATTTAGACAAGTTTCTAATGATTACCAATTAATTTTTAATCATTTTGAACCATTTTACAAGGTTGTAAATTTATTCTGAAGAATTTTACGCTTCATTTTCAATGAGTTTGGAGAGTTTATAATAACAGTTTCCAGATCCGAATCACTTTTTAATCGTTTAGACCAACTTTAAACATTGTTGAGACATTATTATCTACGTTTTCTTAACTTTGTTCAGAAAATGTTGGAGACCATGACTCTTAATATCAACTTATTTAACGAAATCAATTTGAGGCTAGTTAAACCCAAGTTAAAACTGCGAGAACCACGCGCCCAAAGAAGGATTAATATCTTCATAAGCTTTAAGAAAGTGGTTTTTCGAGTCTGAACGCGATGAGGATGATTTTTCGATGGGGGGCTTGGCTTCAAACAGCGACGAACTAATTTCTTGCGCGGGCCTGTCGAGGTCAAGGGGGTTAATTATCTTTATTTGTTGCGGCTGCCCACCGGGTCGGAGCATTATTGTCTCCGACCCCGCGGTAATGAAGGTTAAAACCGCGCCGTTAGGTTCCGTTTCGATTAGGGGCGTCATTTGTCACGCGGGGGGGACACACATCGTCGTCAGTCGGCAAAAGCAGCGCACGCTCTTGATTTATTATCGGCGCGCGTTTAATCACTTCTTCTCATACTTTTCTTCTTATGCATCCCCACCGGCTAAAACACAAAGAATAAAACGAAGATTCTCATTTCCACTTTGAGATCTCACTTTAAACCTTATTCGACAACTAACATTTTTTTTTTCTTTTTAATGACACGTTTGACGTTTAAAAACTGTCAATTCGAAAATTAATGTCAACTGTGAAGTTGAAAATGTTACTAATAAAATTTTAGGTAATGTTTCTTCTTAACGTTTCTTCTTAAGTATTCTCACCGACTAAAACACAAAGAATAACACGAAGATTTTCATTTCCACTTTGAAATTTCACTTTAAGCGTTATTCGACAATTAAATTTTTTTCTTTTTAATGACACGTTTGACGTTTAACTGTCAGTTCGAAAATTAATGTCAACTGTGAAGTTGAAAATGTCACTAAAAAAAATTGAGCTAATACCAACATAAATTTAACATTGAAAGATAATTTTTTCAATTCGAAAATTAATGTCAACTGTAAAGTTGAAAATGTTACTAATAAAATTTTAGGTAATGTTTCTTCTTAAGTATTCTCACCGACTAAAACACAAAGAATAATACGAAGATTTTCATTTCCACTTTGAAATTTCACTTTAAGCGTTATTCGACAATTAAATTCTTTTAATGACACGTTTGACGTTTAAAAACTGTCAATTCGAAAATTAATGTCAACTGTGAAGTTGAAAATGTTACTAATAAAATTTTAGGTAATGTTTCTTCTTATACGTTTCTTCTTAAGTATTCTCACCGACTAAAACACAAAGAATAATACGAAGATTTTCATTTCCACTTTGAAATTTCACTTTAAGCGTTATTCGACAATTAAATTCTTTTAATGACACGTTTAACGTTTAAAAACTGTCAATTCGAAAATTAATGTCAACTGTGAAGTTGAAAATGTTACTAATAAAATTTTAGGTAATGTTTCTTCTTAAGCATTCTCACCGACTAAAACACAAAGAATAAAACGAAGATTTTCATTTCCACTTTGAAATCTCACTTTAAGCGTTATTCGACAATTAAATTTTTTTCTTTTTAACGACACGTTTGACGTTTAAAAACTGTCAGTTCGAAAATTAAAGTCAACTGTGAAGTTGAAAATGTCACTAAAAAAATGTTTGCTATTACCAACATAAATTTAACATTGAAAGATAATTTTTTTAAATTACAAATTTAATTAAAGGTAATATTTTCTAATTGATAAATAATCGCTGGTTAATAACGTTTTAAAACGAGTAATCAACACAACTGACGGTTGATGTTTCTTTTAACGAGGTGAAGAGTTGGTGAGTTTTCGATGGGCATCTGCCGTTTTTGCTTTGCGTAATAATAATAATGGTACTAATAACAACAACTGTAGGAAAAATTTTTAGAGCATTAACGGTATATTGTATTGGTCAGCTGAAATAACAAATATAATCGGACACAATCCTTTTGTACATCAGCATCCGCGCGCGCGCGATGAGATGAATCCGGTTCTTTTTGACAGTTATTAGGGGTTATTTTGGGGTAATAATCCGGTTTGAATTGACAAGGACGATACGAGAACGACAAATTCTCAGTCAAACCGTCTTCATTAAGAGTTCCAAAAAATCTTCGTATTTTAATTTGATGATTCCGTCCGATTTCTCATCCCTCGCCCTAAATTCTTCGGTGTACTTTTGCATTTGTACGCAGGTGACGATAAATTGGTCGAGGGACATTTTTTTGTTGACCGGATCGCACCGGTTAATCAAGAATGTTACAAAATCCGGGCTGAAATTTATCTCCATTTGTTTTAAAGCGAGATCTAATTCAGATTCGGCAAGAAATCCACATCTGCTGCGATCGCACGTGTTGAACGCGGAAACCCATTTTTTCACCGAGCTGTATAGTTGTTCAAATTCTCGAATGTCGATTCCACCGTTTTTATCTAAATCGAATAGACGCACAACGAATTTGCAAACATTATCCGAAAAGTGTTTGCCTTGGAATTGTTTGAATGCGGTTTGAAGTTCTTTAGCACTGATTTTGCCTTCGCTTTTACCTTCGATGGAAGGGAACCACTTTTGGGTGTCGTACGATGAAGGTGTGATTTGTCTCGTTTTACTTAGATTTTGCGATTTTGGTGTATCGCTTGATGCGTATTCGTTATACATCTTGGTTTTAATCGAACCGCTCACAAACGTTGATGGGATTTTTGACGCTGCTATCACTGAGGAACCTTGACCCTTAGCCATGATTGTTTTACTTCGACCCTCGTCGGTGTCTGAGTCACATTTTCTGGTCATTGGTTCCATGATGTTCGTGTCGAACCCGTGCATTGTGGTTCGAAATAAATAAAAATCTTGGAACTATAAATTTTGACTGATTTCTTTGATTTTGGCAGCGACTTTGAGAGTGTCGTTTCCTTGGCTACGTTGCCCAAAAGCTCGTTGACTCCCGTGATGATCTTCCCAGTTATTAAATTACCCGTGGATCTAATAAGCGGCGCTGCCAACCGTCTCACCAGCATGATTTATGTTCTTAGTTTCGAAGTGGCCAGTCACGGAACCCATAATGAAAACATCTCGCCGACAGATCGCTAGTCACTGCGCGACGCCCGAATCGTGACTTTTAACGCTCCAAAATGTTACTTTTTCTTTCCACCCCGATTTCTAAATAAGGAAATTCTGTGATGATGATGTTTACTTAGGGTATTACAAATTTTAGCTAAAACTTTAAGGTGTATATCGATGGGAAACCGCCGATTGTTGACGTGTTTCTTGTACACACGTGGAGAGTGGCGCCAGATGACCGACGGCTCAAGTGGATGACGATGCGGTTCAACCGAACCGAAGATGACCAAGCAGAAAAGTCGTATATTTAATATTATCCGGCGAGACGGCAAATTGATTCTTTTTGTTCTCAAAAATTAATTAGCTATAAAAACACATCTTCATTTTCCTCTATGACAACTTTTTAGAAGGAAAATATAACAATCTAACGCTAAATAACAACTAAAACCAGAATTAACACTAAACCTAGAACTAGTAACATTTGGGTTTAGAGAAAGATACGAAAATATGTAAATTTGATACATTTCGTTGTTCTAGAAATTGTTAATAGTAACACTTGGAAATCAGAGCATGTTACAAAACAACTTTTACAACAATAGGTGTAGCAAATTTTATTATTAACAATATTGCAATCTTACACTTTTGCTCTAAGATGCATAGATATCGAGAAAAACACGAAAATATAACACTAGGGAATTGGAGTGTGTTACAAAACAACTTTTAGAACAATAGTTGTAGCAAATTTTATTCTTAACAATATTACTTTCTTGTATATTTGCTCTAAAATGCATAGATATCGAGATAAGGACGAAAATATGAAAATTTGGCGACTTCGTTGTTTTACTACTTAATGCATGGTAACACTTGGCAATCGGAGCATGTTATAAAACAACTTCTAGAACAATAGTTGTAGCAAATTTTATTCTTAAGAATATTGCTCTCCTTCACTTTTGCTCTCAGATGCTTAAATATCGAGAAAATTTGGAAAATATGAAAATTTGACGAATTTCGTTATTCTACAAGTTGCTAATGGTAACACTTGGGAATCGGAGCATGTTACAAAACAACTTTTAGAACGATAGTTGTAGCAAATTTTATTCTTAACAATATTGCTTTCTTCCATTTTTGATCTCAGATGCGTAGATATCGAGAAAAACACGAAAATATAAAAATTTTATGAATCTCGTTATTCCACAATGTGTTAATGGTAACACTAGGGAATTGGAGTATCTTACAAAACAACTTTTAGAATAATAGTTGTAGCGAATTTTATTCTTAACAATATTGCTTTCTTGTATATTTGCTCTCAAATGCATAGATATCGAGATAAGGACGAAAATATGAAAATTTGGCGACTTCGTTGTTTTACTACTTGTTAATGCATGGTAACACTTGGGAATCGGAGCATGTTATAAAACAACTTCTAGAACAATAGTTGTAGCAAATTTTATTCTTAAGAATATTGCTCTCCTTCACTTTTGCTCTCAGATGCTTAAATATCGAGAAAATTTGGAAAATATGAAAATTTGACGAATTTCGTTATTCTACAAGTTGCTAATGGTAACACTTGGGAATCGGAGCATGTTACAAAACAACTTTTAGAACGATAGTTGTAGCAAATTTTATTCTTAACAATATTGCTTTCTTGCATTTTTGATCTCAAATGCGTAGATATCGAGAAAAACACGAAAATATAAAAATTTGATGAATCTCGTTATTCCACAAGGTGTTAATGGTAACACTCGGGAATTGGAGCATGTTACAAAACAATTTTTAGAACAATAGTTGTAGCGAATTTTATTCTTAACAATATTGCTTTGTTGTATATTTGCTCTCAAATGCATAGATATCGAGATAAGGACGAAAAGATGAAAATTTGGCGACTTCGTTGTTTTACTACTTGTTAATGTATGGTAACACTTGGGAATCAGAGCATGTTATAAAACAACTTCTAGATCAATAGTTGTAGCAAATTTTATTCTTAACAATATTGCTCTCCTTCACTTTTGCTCTCAGATGCTTAAATATCGAGAAAAGTTGGAAAATATGAAAATTTGGCGACTTCGTTATTCTACAAGTTGCTAATGGTCACACTAGGGAATTGGAGCATGTTACAAAACAATTTTTAGAACAATAGTTGTAGCGAATTTTATTCTTAACAAAATTGCTTTCTTGTATATTTGCTCTCAAATGCATAGATATCGAGATAAGGACGAAAATATGAAAATTTGGCGACTTCGTTGTTTTACTACTTGTTAATG